ATAGAAAGTATAATATTGGGATCATTTTCGTCTCCGGGTGCACATTGTTTGGTTATTCTTATGATGTTGTTATGTGATCCCTTTTATTCGAATGTCACCTCTTAAAAATCTAAACTAGGATAGGACTAATCATCATGCCATGACTTTCCTCGGGATTCAGGAGATTCAGGAGCGGTATAACTTGAAACTCTTTCAACAGTTTCTCTTGAACGAACGAGTAATGTACAGTATCAGGCTGACCCGTGTCTATCGTCCAACTACTCTGAACTTGATGTTCTGATCGTGAAAAACTCGCCGGCTGTGTAGAATGCACCCACGGCATTTCCTCCCGAACAAAGCATGGAACTGTATGCCAACTAAGGCCCTGTTTGGCTTTCCGTGACTAAAATTTAGCTACTAAAATCAATGACTAAACTTTAGTCACCCATGTTTGGTCCTATTGACTAAAAATGGCTAAAGGTCATTAAAATAGTTCAACAAAGACAAAACTACCCATAATGAATGCCCAAATCAGGGTGGAGGGACCAATAATAATGATGGGCAGCCCTTTGTCCACTTGACACTTTAGCCCACTTTTAACTACTCTTGGGTGATTAATGTGACTAATGTGACTAAACTACTTTAGTCTTTTTTAATCAGTTTGTTTGGTAGTTTAGTAGCTAAAGTAACTAAAGTTTAGTAGCTAAATTTTAGTAGGGTAACCAAACTGGTTCTAAACGTTCCGATTTGACCAGTAATTTGGTTGCAAGTTTGGCGCTTCACACCAAACGCATCAATTGTGAAACGGTTGCGTCTCCCCATCACTTTCTGCCGGCGTATGTGTCGGTGCCGAAAGTACAAGAGGAAGACAAACCAAGGAAAATGTCACAAATTCTGACTGTACCGTCAGATATGCTTGGAAAAAAAAATGCCGAAACAGTTCGAACCACTTGACTTCCATCAGCATCAGAAAGCGATTTTTGCGCAAAAATAGCACAAAATTGTCACTGTCACGCCGTGCATGTTTTGTCTACAGGCCTGGGCTATTTGGTTCCACCAACTAAATTTTAGTCCATGTCACATCGAACGTTCGGATGTTAATTAGGAGGACTAAACATGAGTTAATTATAAAACTAATTACACAGATGGAGACTAATTTACGAGATAAATTTATTAAGCCTAATTAATCCGTCATTAGCACATATTTACTGTAGCACAACATTGTCAAATCATAGACTAATTAGGCTTAAAAAATCGTCTCGCAACTTATTCGCAATCTGTGTAATTAGTTATTTTTTTAGTCTATATTTAATACTTCATACATGTGTCAAACATCCGATGGGACATAGACTAAAATTGGGTCTAAGGAACCAAACAGGCCCTCAATAGCTATCACCAAGTGATTAATGTTTTCTGGCAGAACATACCTTAGCAGAGCTGGCATCATGTTTCGAGTGCAGTAGGTGCCTGAATTATGGTCTCAGTCAGCAGAATGAATAATGCATGCACAGTAATTTGCCGATGGCCTGAGCCTGACTCAAAAATAATAGAGTAGGGGTGGGGATAGGACACGTACCCTTTCAAAAATAGCGACGGGGCTATCGTCTCTACACTGCACTGGCAACTGGCATGCACACTAGGGAAGCAGTGTAACTGCCCAAGAGCGGATTGGTCCCGGACACGGGGAGCAAAAGGACAACACACAGACGGTCCAATGGGCCATGTACCGAATCAAAACTGACAGAGACACGACACAGAAGAACATGAACATGAACATGGCATGAGGGCCGCAGCCCGGGCCGGTAGTATGATTTTCCCCCCTCTGGACTGCACTGAAATGTACCGAGTTGTAGCTAGCTGAGGTGCTAAGTTCACCTAACGCTGCATCATGGAGTTTTGGATTGGAATGATGACCTCTCTAAGATCTGCATGTAGCTGCCGGTTAGTGGTTGAACAATTGCCAAAATCTAGTACCTAGGGTACTAGCAGTGGTTAAGAATCTCTGTCAGACAGCTGTCCAAAAGGATCTAAGAGAGGAAGTCATTAGTGATACACATGAAAAATAATCATGTTTCATGCAGCTGGCTATTCTGCTACTCAAGTGTGTTAGGGCCATTTGTAGTTTTGCAGCCATGGTAAGCTCATCTCTCACCATGATACGACAGTACTCCACCTTCTGGAGACACCGGCTACTAAACATACCCTGAGACGGAGGGGGTGTTTGGTTCTTTAGTCGCTCCTAAAATTTATATCACATCAAATGTTTAAATACTAATAAGGAGCATTAAATATAGATTAATTATAAAACTAATTACATAGATGGAGGTTAATTTGCGAGACAAATTTTTAAGCCTAATTAATCCATCATTAGCACATGTTTACTGTAGCACAATGCTGTCAAATCATGGACTAATTAGGCTTAAAAGATTCGTCTCGTAAATTAGTCGCAAGTTGTATAATTAGTTTCGTAATTAATCTATATTTAATACTCCATTCATATGTCTAAATATTCGATGTGACAGAAATTTTAAGAAGGGCTGCACAAACCAGCCTGGGACGAAGCAGGACTGCAGGAGAAAGTTCAGATTTTTTTTTTTTTTGACAACAAAAGTTCAGTTGATTGATTGTCCCATGCTCCTGCTGTCCTAGTAGTTATTGCCCACTGCCCAGGCCACAGGCCAGGGCAAGCTCGTGTGGGGATGGATGATGAGAAAACGCAGCTTTTGCAACGACGCCAGTACCACGGATAGCTTTCTGCCAGGGACATCCGGCGGTGCGCTGCTGTTCCAACGACCCCTAGAAAGGTTGCCGATAGGACAAGGAGTCCAGGACGCAGTGCAGGCTAGCCGTGTGGGTATGATTGGAGGCAGGACAGGAGAATCCCACGGAACCAACATTCGGATCAGCCATCCAGCCGGGTGATGAGGCCACCGATGGTTCGTTGATTTTGGTTACCACTTCTTCAGCCAATATAACTTCCAATGCAGTGCTCTAGGCTACAACGGGTGACCTGATGAGGGCACAACCTGCACACGGTTGCCATTTACTCAGTCCTAAATATTATTTTATAAGGAGTTACAAACTTCTTGAGCCAATAATATACGCAATGTGACGCTCTATAGGCTATAGCGCAACCACATGATCTCCACGCCGGCACCAACCTCTGCCGGAGTCTAGAGGTTGCTTCTTTCCTCCAGTCCTAAATCCCGGCGTACCCGACATCCAAAGACTAAGGTTATTCTATAAGAAAATAATTTGTACCTATACTAAAGAGCAAATTTTCTTTCTTCCGTCTCACGCTTCTTTTCAACTCTTTGGTTGGTTGTCGCTCACTCGTATCTTTTTCCACTCTTTAGTCGGTTGTCGCTCACACTTACCTTTCTTGTTTTATGTTTCGAGCCACGTAACATTAGTTGATGTCATTTCACTTATATCATGGTCTGGCCGTCCGAGCCCATTCGCTTTGTGATGTATGTGCGGACATGTGGCTCGCCTTCCACTTTTATTAAAATCACAACTAATACATACAATATAAGTCATCTCTTTAAGTTGAGTCAATCTCCTATTAATTTCCCATACAACATTAATCCTTTAGTGCACTAACATTTATTATGGACCTTATAATTTATTTGATTTAAGGTTGATTCAAGCTCAATCTAATTCAATAGAAACAACTAGCTCATTATCATGGCATGCACACAACACAACAAATTGCACACCATGCTGCAACACATGAGTATATTTGCTAGTAATAATAATGCATGTTTGGGCAGGTCTAGCGCATAGAGGAGGTACTTAAGGAATGGCATAATAATGTCCACTTGATCCGATGGTGTAGAGGCCAGGGATGGACCTGGATGTCTAAACATCTAGAAGATCAAACATTTGTATCCTTATATTCATATTCGGTTTTAATATAGATGCTAAATAGATGTTTTCAAAATTATTTTTATGATTCTTCTCTACCTAATTTCATATCAATGTTTAAATGTGAAATATCCAATATTATCCATATATGTGAAGAACAACGTACCATCTAAAACTTATATTTATGACTAATTAACATTGTAAAGGACAACCATTTTAGTATAACCTATTTAAACTATTTAAAAGTTATTTCTATTGCTAATATGGCTAACCATAAAGGTTAAGTTTAGTTTAGGATAATTTTAAAACTTGCATTTATGATAATTTAAAACTATGAAAGGCAGTATTCTCTATGGAACCTTGTACTACTTAATCTATGAGGTTACTTTATCCGCCAAAAAATAACTGCACATCTTATTTCCCAGAGAGTCAATCTATTTAAAAATATAACCAAATATATATTAAAAAATGCTAATATTTGTGATGCATAACAAGTATCATTATATCGACCCTGTTCTACTTGTTTTGTGACATGACGGCGATTAAAGGCTATGTTTTGATTCAACTTTAAAAAGTGCTTCTGCTGCTAAAGGGTCGAACAATTAAACGGTTGGAACCTAAAATTGCTTTTCCAGAAGACCTGTTTATAGCTTATAGCTTGTAACAGCTTTTTCATAGCTTACAACTGAATAAATAGACTCTAATCATCACAATTACTAAAAAATCCTTAATAATTACAATAAATAAATTAGTTTATTTTAAGACCAATGCATGGCTGACAAATTTTCGGAATTGTGGAACCGACCTCTCAAGTCTCAACCACCGAATGATGGAACATTCGAAACTGTAAAAGAACAACCGAATGTCTATGTTAAAGAACCACTCGAATCTGCCTACCAACTGTAACAGATCCAGCAACCACTAGTCTCCACACCCTTTACGTTGCCATATTCACCAGACCACGGTCAAAGTCCGGCCGGGACATATTCTTTACACACTGATCTTGTGCTAGCTGAGGAAGCCCGTGGTCTTTTAAATTTCGAGTGCCGTGTCTATGTGGCAGCTTCTGAATGCACGAACGAAACATGCAGAGGCGCGTGACGTGAGTTTTCCCATATCGCCCGTCGCCGATCTCGCAGATGTGCGCGTACCACATGCGGCTCTCCGGCGTGGCGGCCTTCGTGCTCCTCATGCTGCTGCTGCTGTATGCGGTGCACAGGTGGAGGAACCCTCGATGCAGCGGCCGCCTCCCGCCGGGCTCCATGGGCCTGCCGCTCGTCGGGGAGACGCTGCAGTTCTTCTCCCCTGAGGCTTCCTTGGACGTCCCGCGTTTCGTCCGGCACAGGCTGGAAAGGTACGCCGCCTCGGTTTGGGCTTGAGCCGAGGCCCGATTAAGCTGGAACATGATGGGCCGGGCTCGTGTCGCGATTCTGAATCTGAAACCTGTCCCGTTCGAGTGCAAGCTAGGTACGGCCCGATCTTCAAGACGAGCTTGGTGGGCCACCCGGTCGTGGTCTCCGCGGACGAGGAGCTCAACTACATGGTGTTCCAGCAGGAGGGGCAGCTGTTCCAGAGCTGGTACCCGGACTCCTTCGTGGAGATCCTCGGCAGGGACAACGTCGGGGAGCAGCAGGGCGCCATGTTCAAGTACCTCAAGAACATGGTGCTCCGCTACTTCGGCCCGGAGAGCCTCAGGGAGTCGTCCATGCTCCGCGACGTTGAGCACGCCGTCAGCAGCTCCCTCTGCACCTGGTCGACCCTGCCGGCCGTCGAACTGAAAGAGGCCGTCTCCACGGTACGCAAGTAACAGTTTCTGTGTGCCAGGCTGCCATTGTTGTGAATTGTGATTGCTGCATGTCTGTGTCATCTGTGCGCGTAGATGGTGTTCGATCTTTCAGCGAACAAGCTGCTCGGCTTGGAGCCGTCGAGGTCCAAGATTCTGAGGAAGAGCTTCTTCGACTTCGTTCGAGGGCTCATCTCGTTCCCTCTGTATTTGCCAGGAACAGCATACTACTCTTGCATGAAGGTGAGTACATACTGCTACTCGCTGCACTATGGTGTCCATATCACGATCGAATTAATTAACTCTGCACAAGCTTGGCCTTTTTTTTATCTGTCATGTCACTTTCAGGGCCGGCAGAGCGCAATGGAGGTGCTGCAGGAAGTGCTAGAGGAGAGGAAGAGATCGGTACAGGTGCTCGGAGCAGGAGAAGGCGCCATGGAAACGACACGTCGCCATGGCGGCGACTTCTTGGACCTCGTCATCCAGGAGATCACGAAGGAGAAGCCGGTCGTGACGGACAGAATGGCACTCGACCTGATGTTCGTGCTCCTGTTCGCCAGCTTCCACACGACGTCGCTGGCGCTCACTCTGGCCGTCAAGCTGCTCGCAGACCATCCTCGAGTCCTGGAAGAGCTCACGGTCAGGAACATACAAACAACCTTTGATCGGCACTGATGCCTCTACGATTTAATTTTGGCTTTGATGCATGCAGGTGGAGCATGAAACGATTCGTAAGGCGTGCCATGGATCTGATGGAATCACATGGATGGAGTACAAGTCTATGACGTTCACGTCCCAGGTTGTCGATCGGCTAGGACAAAAATTGGTCAATAATCACCTGACCTGCACCTGCTAGTGTTAAGAACATGTATAACTGGAACAATTGGCTTCAGTTATATACTACTGCGTGCACTATGAACTCTATGAGCGTGCATGCATATGTTTGCTCTCAAACATTTCATACATGGTACAAAAATATTATTTAAGATACAACAATAACAGGAAGATCCACACTATTTTTATAGGTTATCAACGAGACTGTCCGATTAGCCAATATTGCGCCTGGCATCTTCAGAAAGGCACTGAAAGATATACGGTTCAAAGGTGAAGCTGTCATTACACATGTCGTCCTATCTGTTTCAGCAAACTGATCGCACTCTAAAACCAAACACAATAGCTTTATTTGATGTTACTTTAAAGTGCTTTCGACGACTAATCTTATCGTCTGGAAAATTATGCGTGCTCAAACTGAGGAGCGATAACTGAATACTTTTCTAATCCCCTTGCTTGACAGGGTTCACAATTCCAGCAGGATGGGGAGTGATGGTCTGTCCTCCAGCAGTTCACTTGAACCCAGTCATTTACCCAGATCCCCTCATCTTTAACCCTACAAGGTTCAAGGTTTGTGGATTCAGTAGTCCATGTATGCGGAAACACACATGCATGTAGTGATATCCGGTAAAATTGTTTTTTGGACATGTCCACATACAGGATAAACCGGAGATAGACCGTGGGTCAAGACACTTCATGGCATTCGGAGGAGGCCTCAGATCCTGCGTTGGAGCAGACTTCAGCAAGCTGCAAATGTCTATTTTCCTCCATTTCCTTGTCACTAGATACAGGTAGAATTTTCACAAGCTTAGTTCTCCGGGAGTCAGAATTTAGTTAGAAAACAATCCAAATTCATTTCCCAGCGCCCTTTAATTTCTTTCACATATTTCAGGTGGAAAAGTCTTGGAGGTGGCAAGACAGTCCGACATCCGGGGCTAGAATTCCCTGATGGCTACCACATTCAAATACGACACTGGAATTAGTCAAGGCCTTACCTTCTGCTACTACTAATTATCAAAAAAAAAAGTCAATCTCGTTGCGCATTCAAGCCACGAAATGGACGGAGGAAACAATTACTGTTAGTGTCAAAGTACAATATTATTGTAACATTTGAAGGTTAAAATGTCCCTACTATAACGCTTATATGTCTATCAAGTTGAACAAGCAATATTGTTGCCTCGGGCTAACCATGCCTAGCAACCGCGCACCTAGGGTGAATAGGAAGATGCCGACGCCGCCCTTGCTCCTAGGTCCTCGGCGTCGCCACGCCTCTACCTAGGGCTCCTCTCCTTCTCCCTCTCCGGTGCACCTGCCGGGTAAGGAGAGGGAACCCATCTCTTTTTTCCGTCGTTTTTGCATCCAGTTTGTTTAGAGTTTAGCCCAAATAAATTCACCGGCGAAATCAGATAATTTTTTGTCGGGATCTTGTTACCTGCGATGACTTCGGTGATTGCACGACGAGATTGCCATTGCAAGCGTCATCGGCAGGCAGTCAATTTGTGCCCATTATCTACTGGGGGGTGTGCTCTTGCGCACTCCCAATCAGGACAGTTTCTCAAGGTCATCGATCTTGTTGTTGATGGTTGCGAGAGAAAATCAAGGATTGGATGTAATGAATCTGCATCCTATATTGTACCCAACGATGCAACTGCCGATATTATTTCATTGATTCAGATATGTTTTGGACTGGTTTCGGTCTCCTTTTGATGTATGGACCTGAACCACATCCAGTGGGTTGCCCATTGACATTAAATATGCATGAGGAGTTGAAGAATGAAGATTAGTTCCTCAGATTGAAGAATGAGGAGTTTTAGAAATTTGGAGAGAACGAAACGACAAAAGTCTTCAATAATCGTAGGAACCGGACATTGCTGGACATAGGAGGGATCAAGTATGAATGAAGGACATGGTGCTCCGCTGGTAACAAAGCTCTGGAGCTAATCTTACCGCCACACACACAAAAAAAAAACCTCCGCATAGGCGCAAGAAGACAAGACATAGCATAGCTCTTAGTTATAGTTATATATATATATATATATATATAAAGCTTATAGACGCTAGTATTACAGTAGGGAGCTATTACGCTATTTTCTTAATGTAAATTAACGCCACGAATGGTAGGGATGGTGACAAGATGCCCAGTCAGATCTGTACTTAACATACGGGAGAATGTTTAAGCGTCCGCATCTTTATATTTTTTATTTTGCAGACCCAAATAAGATAACCTAGACATTAAATAAATGATTAGCACTAAGCACGAGTAGCATAGATAATTGCTACTCCTTCCGTTCTAAATTATAAGTCATTCTAATTTTCTTGGAGAGTTAAAATATCTTAAGTTTGACCAAAATTTAAAAATCACAAAGATTTACAACATCAAACAAGTATACTATGAAAATATAATTAATAAAGAATCCAATGATACTTAGTTGGTATCATAAATGTTATTATTTTATTATATAAATTTAGTCAAACTTAAGATGCTTTAACTCTCTAAGAAAGTTAGAATGATTTATAATTTAGGATGGACTTTCTCGAACGAAGAAATGACGAAAATAAAAGTTGTAGATCTTGATGAGTTATTCAACTTTGGTATTCATGACTTTTTCAGCTGAAATCATTTAGTGTTACAAAATCTTGCTTGAAGTTGTCATTTGTTGAAATTCAAAATTTGAATTGTTCAAACTTTGTCACATGGAGTAATGATAAAAAAAAGCTGTACATATCGATGAGTTTTACAACTTCCTAGATGACAATTTTTTCATTTGAAATCAGTTCTTGTCCCAAAATTAATTTTGAAAGTTCTCGAAATTCAAATTTCGATTCATCAAACGAACTCCTACGGAGAAAGGACCAATACAAAACTTCTAGAACTCGATGAGTCATACAACTTTTGTGTTGTTGACTTTTTCATAAACAACATATTTATTATGATTTAAATTTTAAAATGAAATGTATTTATGCTAGTAAAAGGAAAAAGGAAAACATATATCCTTAACTCCAATTGTACTATTTAGGCGGCAAAATTTTGTCCGTTTCGCACGGTGGCGCGCCTCCAACAGGATTTCGCGGCTACAAAAGACGCTTCTACCCTCGCTTGCCATGACCCAAACAATGCACCCCAAAGGGACCTCTTGAGGGGTACATAGTAATTTCGCATGCCAGGACCCATATCCATCCAAACCCTCCCATCCCCTCCCCTCCTAGCGCCGCACTTCCCCAACTCCATCCAAACCCTAGGCCTTTCCTCCGCCGCCGTCGTCCACCTCCCTGCTGCCGCCATTCGACCGCCATCGTCCACCTCCCCTTCCACCACCATCGTCCACCTCCTTGCCGCCGCCATCCAACCCTGCCGCCATCCCTGCCTTCGCCATCTGCTTCACCAAATCCATCCAAACCCTAGGCCTTTCCTCCATCGCCGTCATCCACCTCCCTGCTGCTGCCATCCCTGCCTTCGCCATCAGTCCCCTGCCACCATCCATGCCGCTGCAGCACATCGTCGACGAGCAGTACACAGCAAAGCCGGCCACCGATTAGATGGCGCCGGGCGGTGGAACGAAGGGAAGAAACAAATGCAACACAACAGGTACTTGGGTTCTTCTTCCCAGCACTCGACTCTTATTAGCGCCCATATTTTGGTAGTTTTTTCTAGGTAAAATAGATCGTGTTGATGGGTATCAAGATTGATAGGATTTGTCCTTGGGCTTCAATCCCTTTTTGTGTCGTGAATGCTGACAAGAGACTCTAGATTTATGCTGACACGAGACTCTAGATTGATAGGATTTGTCCTTTGGCCATTGTGCTTTAATCCATTCCTTCTTGTTTCACATGAATAGAAGAAAAATTTTGTTACTGGATGAGGTGATGGTTTTGTAGATTTATGTAGGAGAGGGCGGCTGTGATATAATTCCTTGCTCTGGTTGTTCTGTGCATGTGCTGCTTTATTCCCTTTTTGTTTCACACAGCTAATGATTTCACTACTTTTTTTAGAAACCCAATTTCATCCATATGAGCTTCTACAACTAAGAAAATGTATGCAAAACAGTGCAAGGATGCAAGAGCTAGGAATTCCTGCATTAGTCACAGCGCTTGGAAACAAAAGAGTGCTCCCGCAACATGATGCTACAACTGACCATAGAAATGACAGAAATTGTGATCCTGACTACCATCCTGAGCTTGATGATACCAGTGATGGAGATTGGTGTGCTACTAACAATGCTAAGGTGCTAATTCCACCAATCCTGTGATGCTTGTCTTGTCTTGCTAAGGCAATATAATACAAGCCAAGCCTTATTGATTGATCTATGTTTGCATTTGTGTTTAGGAAGCATTTAGTAGCAAGAAAAGACATGCTGACATGGCTCCTAGTGGGTTCAAGGCACGTAAAAAGAGTGCGCTTGCAATTCTGCCAG